ATAAAATTCCTGAAATGTGGTGGAAAAACATATTTAACCACAGATATGTCGGTTTCTTTGTGTGATAATCAAAAGCGATTATTTTTAAATTTGCATAAGAGTCCTATTTAGCTTTCCCTTTCAACTTCTATGTTCGATGTTTCTGTTTTTATAAAGATCTCTTCCCACTATTTTCAATAATCAAATAATGAAATATTAAATTACAGTATATTTCGGTGGCAGCAGTAGCTTAGTGATTATGTTCATGAACTCGTGGCTGGCGTGTCGCACGTTCGTGTCCTGGTGCCAGTGCTGGTTTATCCATTGGGCCCGGGGCCCGGAGAGGTCTAGAAGGGCGTGGATAAGGTGGACTTAACCAGATTTGCTGGTTATGAATCTCGATCCTCCAGTGCCAAGGGGGCCTATAGATCTTCTGCGCCCAGGGCCCGAAATGAGCTTAAAGCGGCACTGCCTGGTGCCACTAAAAATTCGCTGTTATATAGAAAAAGACAGCTCACACAAACAGACAAAAGGAATAATTTATAAAACACATTAATCAATTTTTTTTAAGTTTAAATATGGGGAAAAGTTTTGCTTCAGAACATGTAATAGAAATGGACTTGCAATTCTAAAAAGATTAACTTTTTAGAATAATTTTTTTGCCAGTGTCATGAGAGCTGTTGCAGTCGTGGGAGTAAGCTGTTTAATTTTTCTGTTTAAAATGTAATTCAAGTAACCTCTGAAAATAGCTTGGGTGTATTAATGTTATGTCAGGGGCGTCTCTAAGTCGTAAGTCGGCTCAAGATTTAATTTTTTTTTTTTTAAAAAGCTACAAGGACGTTTTATTAATTTTTAAATAAGTGACTATATACGTGTCAATATATTTTGACCTATATTTTTCTCGACATCATTAAGTATCCGTTAACTTCAGCTTTCAAGCCTTTGCGATAGAAAAATTGTGAACGAGATAGTAGAGTGGTTGCGAACTTATATCCGTCGTATTTTTTGTAGAATGACTTTGAATTGAGTCGGGATGATGCCTTTTAAACAACAACCTGATATTGTAAAATTTGTCAAATTACAGAGACTTAAACGGGCTGGTCATCTGAATAGAATGAATGAAGATGGTTGCTGCAGGAAAATCTTTCTGGCAAAGCCCATGGGAAATAGACCTCGGGCCAGACCCCCGTTAAGATGGATTGACTGTGTCGAAAAAGACCTAAATATTTTAAAGGTCAGAAACTGGAACAAAGTTGCGAAAAGTAGAAATACTTGGAGAAAACTTATGGAGAAGGCCACGGCCCACCCCGGGCTATTGATCCACTGAAGAAGAAGAAGACGACGCCTTTTAAATCTGTCCATCTTACTTTCAAAGCTTGTCTGTTACCAAGTTCAGTAACACGATGGGAGACTGCCCATGGAACACAACATTCAACTAGTCATCGTTGCCCTCCAGATTACTCTAAGCCAGATCGGATGTCTATCGAATACTTTTGGTCGATCACTGGCAAACGACAAACCCTGTGTACACTACCCGCAGAGACGTCTTAAGGCATGAGCCAACTGGGCCCAAAGCCTCGGCCTCGAGGGGGGCCTCATCTCGCTCTCGACGTAGCCTTAATCAGATTATGATTCGAATAATTAACTGTCAAATGTTATTTCCGAACGTATTCTTCTAAAAACTGGGAATTTCCAACTATATGTCAACTGACGTGGGAAAACTGCATTAGTATGTGATGATCGTCGTCCATGTTTAGGCCTAGGCTTATACCACGATACGCCATCATTATTCATTCAGTCAAAGGCAGCAGTCGGTCGAGTTGGTTTGTGCAATTGCAAGTCATGCGCATTTATTTGTTTCGAGTTATTGTTTGTAAGAGTATTTGACAACGTATTCTGTATGCTGCCTAATTTCAAGGGTCATAGATGGATGCCTTCATTTGCGTAGGAGCCCAGGGCTTCAAAAAGTCTTAAGAAGATCCTGACTACCCGCTGTAACTTCAAATGAACTTTGGCAGCAAATGGAAACAGTATGGACTGGTATACTTTAAGAACGCAAGGAAGATATCTAAGCAGTGGCGTAACGTACACCCCCGCATCGTGGAGGCCTCGGGTTCTAGGGGCCCAAAGCCTGACTGCCGCAAAGTACCTACCCTTTTTAAAATCCAACTTGGGGGCCCAAAACCTGACTTTGCAGGGGGCCTAAATGCTCTCCTTTACGCCACTGAATCTAAGGCAGCGGTTCTTCAGCTTTCGATCGCCGTAGCCCCCCTTTATGCATTAGTGTAACATCGCGGACCCCTAAAATTTTGAATATCCCTTCTCATCTTAATATTCTTGATCACACAAAATAATGTTCTGTTGTAGAAATTTTTCATTGGGAACAATTTAATAATCTAGTCTGGTATGACACATCTTTCAATTTTAACACAAGGCTTCTGGAGTCTGCAAAGGAGGGAAATCTCAAAGTTACATAAGACTCCGTGGACCCCTAGAGAAACCCTGTGGACCCCCTGGGGTCCACGGACTACAGTTTAAGAACAACTGACCTAAGGTATCTTTCAATGCCAAGGCGTATCACCGTTGTTATTGCCAATTATGGAGACTGCACAAAATTATGTTTCGTAAGTCGAATGGAGAGAGCTGTTTATTGACTATTCCACTTTTATATTTTATGTTATCTGCTCTTTAAATTTGACTATTATATCTTTTTTACTTAATAATGCTGGCATTTTGAATAGCCAGCTGCATATTTCTGGAGTTGGCAAAGATTGGAAGTGAGGGTGATGGTAAAACATTGTTGTGAGATTCCATGATGAGATTACTCCTTTCTTTATGTTGTTTTCAATATCCAATAAAAGTTGTTTACGTCTATAAATTAGAAAAAAATTTTCTTTGTATATTTACTTATATATGCCTGACATATTTGTATATATAAAACTAAAAATCAATACAAAGAGAGAAGATCAAATCTCATCCTACATATGTCATATCTATTTAAATCTATTTTTATTGAGACAGTACAATTTATTTTCCAATCAACAACATCCTGAAGATTTTATCCAGGATTTTTTAAGTGAAAGATTATTTTGTTTATTATTAATAAGCCTCCGTTAGATTCACTGAAGTTGGTTAACTTCGTGCTACATTTCCAGCCATACCGTGATTTGTTAATATGCGTGAAATGGCCAAAGGTCAAGCCAACCCTTAACGCCGATTTTTTCTCCTTTGACTGCCTTGATAAGATCTCTCTTAAATGAATTATCTATTCATTAGGGATTTTATTTTTATGAAGCAGGTGTGTTTCAACAGCTTTTGTGGGACCGGCCGGCGTTCAGAAAAGGCCACATCGTGAGTGAGATAAAGGGATTAATGGGGCTTAATGGAATTATGTGTATGTTTTTCCTTTCGCTTTGGAAGTGTTTAGATCTTTTTTGGAGTCTGTTAATGAGTGTGATGGAGCTAAAATAAATGTGTTTATTTATTGTCTTCACATTTTCAATTCAAATTATAAATAGGCATACTTCAATGAGAAACATCACGATTTTTTGTCAAGATTTGCATTATTACCAAGTAAAAACTGTAAATAACAATAATAATATTATTAAAAAAAATTTTTTTAAGAAATTTTCAATATATGGACACATTTGACTGAATTAAATATGCAATGCTTAAAAGAATATTTCAAGTTTATATAAGACTACATGTACAACCTGTTGATTACACCAACTTCTCATGATGATTCGCGACTTCGAAATTCCTTAGTATTTGGAAGTATTACGAAACTATTTGCAAAAGGATATTGAGTGGTTATGCATGCAAATCCAAATAACTACGATTATATACGCTTCGATGGGTATTTCATGATGTTGCTTCTTTATTTACTGTTTTAAGTTATTGATATCTAAATTGTAGCATTAAACTTTCAATTGTACTGAAATACATTCTTATAGCCATCGCCTCTTAATTTTTTTTTAAAAAAAACACACAGCTGGAATTTCTAACAATTAATCTTTTACACCCACCCTCGTAACCCTTTTTTTCTTCTTTATAAATCATTCCCGTAAAACTCATTTTTATTGGATCTCTACTAAAGAAAAGAAACATGCTTGCCAAATTTCAAGTATATGGGTCTAATAGTTCAAAAACACGAATTTTTTTAAATCTAAAGCGCCTCCAAACCCCTCACGGTAACTTTTTGGAGTCAATTTCCCCTAAACCCGTACTTAGTGGATCTTCACTCAACACAGGAATTATGCTTGCTAAATTTCAAGTCTGTTGTGGTGTAATAATTCAAAAACGGGAAATTTCGCTTATAATGCTTCTTTAACTCCTCGCAACCTCCTTAGGGAGTCGATTTTCGCAAAACCAGTTCTTAGCGGATTTTTACTCAACAAAACAAACATGCTTACGAAATTTCAATGTAGGTCTTAAAGTTTCAGAGATCTCGGGATGAGTGGGTGAGCGAGAATATCATTTTCCTCCTGCATATATATAGACAGACAGGAATTTGAAATATTTAATTCATTTTTATTTATTTCTATCTTTTTTATGTGTTATTTATTGCATTTGACAACAAATTTATGACATTTATTTATTCACTCATTTTAATGTTATGGCATAGCATTGTATATTTCAATATATTAATTATCCAATTATTGGGTAATATTCAATGAATTAATTATTATTTATGAAATGAAAAGTGCTATTTAGAACAAAAAAAATATTTCTAAGTAGAAATATATGAAAAGAAAGGTATTGCAAATATATCACAACTACATAATTCTGTGATTTTCTGTTTTTCAATTCTACTATTAGTTCACTCTCTCCTTAATAAAATACTTTCTATCCATCCATGCAAGTTCAAATACATTTTTTTTTAAAATTTGTAGAGGATGACACTTGATGTTAATATATTTTTTTCAAATATTAATTCATTTATTAAATTAAAAAATAAATAAATAGTAACAAACAAAAATAATAGTCCAACAGCATATATAGAAAAGAAAATCTTTCGTTGTGTCCCTGTAGCGCAATGGATAGCGTGTTGGACTTCTAATCGAAAGGTCGTGAGTTCGAGTATCCCCTGGGATGGCCTAATTGCTGCGAATGTGATTTATTTTTTACGATACTATTTTATTTGAATAATTAAGTTTAATTATTGAATAAAAGTACAAAGAGAAAAACAGTCCAACACCATATATAGAATGGAAAATCGCTTCCTATTTTGCCGCTTAATATTGTGATTTTGTCATATATTTATATTAATTTTAACTATTTAATAAAAGTAACAAAAGAGTAAAAATATTTTTGTTTGTTAACCTAAGTAGGAATTGTCTTATTTTTTTCTTCTTGTTCGCAGTAAACACACTCAAAAATTCGCTGTGTAAAGTATTATGTTAGAATTTCTGATCATATTGAAATAATATGCAATCATTATTGTGTATTACATTTTGCAAAATTTGTACATTTGTATGAAAAACAGATTTTTAAAAATATTATTATTTTAAGGAACAAAATTTTGTTTTAAAGTAAATACAAAGTAAGCAGATTTTTAAAATAAAGTCGAAAACATTTCTTAAATTTTTATGACACTTCTATAAAACTCAAAGAATAGTCTTTAGATTTAAGACATTTTCATCTACCTAATAATTTTTAAACACTTTTCTATCTTTCTTTCTATTTTCTAGTCTTGTTGATCCTTTTGAATTACGTCCTGTCCGGGACCATAAAATTTCAGTCTGAAGCACACATCTTCTACTAGCCACATAGACGTACTTTTTACGAGGCAACCACAGAATTTTTATCCTGTTCCATCTCAAACAACCTTAATAAATGCCACATTTTACACCATTTTTCAAAGAGGGGGCCATCAACGAGGGACTGTCTTGTGTTCGTTATATATGGCTTTGCAATAGGCTTGGTGTCATAATAACCCTGGAATTTTATTTTTTGGGCGTATCGATATATTAAACTGCCACTGTGCGAATCTTCCCCTATATGTCTCCTGTATATAACAGAAGATAAGTTTAAAAGGAAAAAATGATAATGCTTGTACTGACCAATTATTCGTACAGTTCTTTTTATTGTCCTTGTGCAATAAATATAGGAATTATTTGGTTTTATTATAACAAAGACCGACATAAATGTTCCCAATATTTGTGACAGGATTACTTCGAAACTAAAATAAAGGGATTGGGAGATGGAACTTTACGATGAGCTTTATCTTGCGCTAAGTATAATAATAATAAAGATAATAACTCTGATTGAGTTGGCTTAGTAAATAGAACATTAAAACTTTTTTTTGCATTATCGATGCTGGTGTGGAAATGCCAACAAAAAAGTTTTATAGAGAATTATGCGCAACTGTTGATTTTTACTGTATCCGACTACCCTAAAATTGGAAATTTTTCCAAAAATTGACAATTTTTTTTATGATTTTATTTTATAAGCCATCTCATTAGCTTTATAAAAATACCAAGAGTATTATTTTCCGTTGATTAGAACAAAAACTTCAAGTGTTTTAGTAAAAGCAGCTGCCATTACTTTAAGCAAGATGTCATACTTTAAAACGCGTTTTACTCAAAATGTGTGTGTGTGTTTTGTTTTTTGAAAATGCTCAAACGGAGACTGATTTCTAAAAAAGTTTTGAAAATAATTAACTGAAATTTTTAATGTATGTTCTGTATAATAGTAGAAGTGTTTTCAGATTTATCAAACACTGTTTCATTACAAAATTTAGAGTTCCTTATGTTAGAGAGTTATATAATCACTGTTATCTTAAGCAATTTCGTATAATAACTAAGATAAAGGGCTCTTGTTTTTGTAAAAATTAAAATATATCTTATCCTGAAGGTCATTTCAAAAATAAATAACATAGCAACACATCAGAATTGAAAAAATGAAAATTTGTCCGTAAACTTTTGATACGAAATGGGCCTCGTTTATGTTATTTTTTGTAAATGTTTACCCATTTTTTCCCCTTTAAGTAACAATAATTTCTTTTTATCTTCTTAATTTTAGCATATTTTTCTTAAAATGTACTAAACAAATCTAAAAATCACAAAAAATCCCCATACCTCCATTTTTTTTTTTAAATAGTTGTTGCAAGTAGTCGGATACCTTAATATTTTTATAAAACATTTAAAAAAAAAGTTTAAAACAAATAGTTGTAAATTATCAAGAAATGAATCAAACCTTGCTTTTGTCAAATGAGATTAAAATATGGATGCTGACACAGGTCAAAAATCTATTCATAAATATAAGAAAATACAATAAAAAGTCTAATTTTAAAAAATAATGATGAGTTTTTTTTTAAATTTTTTGTTTTGAACTATTTAATAATTTAATTCGCAATAAGATGTTTCTGTTACACAATTTCGAATATAATTTTCTTTTCGTATATAATTACATACTTTTAATAATCAAAAATATAATATTCATTGTACCTCAAACTGAGACTTATGACTTATCTTAAATATAAGAGCCGCCGTGCAGAGGGAGTCCATGCACGTTAAATATGTCGAGATTCAAATATCCTCCTGTTGGTGTGGTGTGGAAGTTAGGAGAGGAGGTACCAGCTCAGGTGTCATCCTCGTCATTTGACTATGGTTCAAAATTCCAAGATCCGTCGCCAAAAGCCCTCGAGTAGCTGAATAATGCGACGTTAATATTCATTCACTCACTCACTACAATATAAGAAACATAATCGGGGTGACCGAGTGGTCATGGTCAAGAGCTCGTAGGCAGCATCGTCGAGTCATGAGAAAGTGATCCAGTGCCACTAAAGACCTGCCGTGTAGAGGTGTTGATGCACGCTAAATCTGTTGAGGCTCACAATCCTCACATTAGTACGATATGAAATTTTGAAGCCAGCTGAAGTGTCGTCCTCGTCACTTGCTCGAGGCTTTAATTTAGAAGTTTTGTCCCCAGTAACCCTCGTGTTGCTTATATAAATGCAACATTAATTAAATTTTAAACCAAGATGAAAGACTAAAATCATTTAGGGATATGAAAATACTTTTATTTATAACTTCTTGTACGACTCTTTTAAATCTGGAATTGTGATTATGATACGAGTAATATCTAAATTTCAAATGTTATGTTTCTAAAAATATAATCCATTCAAAAAAATTTCTGTGTTTTTGGAAATTATTGAAAGAAAAAACAATCAAGTATGTTCGACAAGAAGTTAAATGGTTACAGGAACTTCGTACTGAATTTTTTATCAATACGCGAAATAAGAAAATCTTTGAAAAAGAGAAAAATACAGTTATATATAAAAACAGAATTAAAAAATATTAAGACGTAGCTCAGAAGTTATAAAAGTAAAATTTAAAAACACACATGGACAAAATAGTTTTTTTAATATTTTAAATAAAAGTAAATAGATATAAATGAATAAGAAAATGAAAAGGGCAGTTATTCCTTTTTCACAAAACTTTGCTTTAATTATTTGTTAGTTATTTAAATCAGTTATTGTTTATTATTGCAAGCGTGATTTCAAAGAAAATACTTTTGTTGTTTTTATTATTGTTGCAAGAAATATTATGTTCTACTTTTGTTTAAATTTCACCTTCGAATGAATGTGTAAAAAATTGTAAATAAATAAGCCTAGATTTTTCATGTACTATTGAAAAATGCAATGTTTCACTAAAAACCTCTCTTATCTTACTTTTTTGCTAATTTTTATAATTATTAATATTGAAATAAGTTACTTAAGTCGAGTATATGTCTATTTTTATTAATTATTAAAAGCTTTTATTTAACTTACAATGTATGTATGTATGTATGTATGTATGTATGTATGTATGTAATTTGTTCGGGTGGAATCTTGCAACTCAATTTTGAAGCTGATATCTTCCTCCTATGGAGCTGAAATTTTGTATACACGTTTAGTTTGGATGACAATGCATGTTTTGACCATTTATATTCCGATATTGCAATTAATTAAAAAGATATTAATTAAAAACGTTAAACTAGTTTTGGGCGCCAACTTGGATATATCTGCATTGTTGTAATAATTTTATTGTTACAACAATGACAAAAGTTGGCGTCGAAAATCGGTTTTCAGCCAAACTGGAATTTCATAACGTTGCGCTATTGACTGTATTAATTAACTTTGTCTAAAAAATAATTACATTTCTACAACGTAAAAATAATCTAATTTCTACAACATATGCAATTTATTTTACAAATTTCTATCTATTTTCTTGGATTTTAATTCAAAAAAAAAAAAAAAGTAGAGCTATTTTTCAAGTAGATTGGTATATTGTATACCTTTCTCAACGCTGCCAAGTTAAACTGAGATGGAGTATTATAGAAATTCTAACTTTAATCCCTTAACTAGTTTGCCCGTACACCTTACGGGCTACTGAAAGTTAGCCACAACCGGTTTGCCCGTGCGCTGTACAGGCACCGAAATTTTTCTTTCTATATTTTATTTGCACAGACATTTTTATTTCTATAATTAAGGTGATTAGTATAGTGTGTCTTTAGGAGATGCAGAGAGAGAGTTTGTCCATGGTACTGAACTACTCTTCATTCAGAATTTTGGTAGTGGTGAAGGTGAGAATTTTTCACTGAAGGCAAGAATATATATTCTTGAATATATTGGATAAAGAACAGGGATTTACAAGGAAATGTACAATGTGTTGCCTAAGAAAAAGGAAAATGGATAGATAATCCAAAGAAGTCGATATTATCTCTATCCCCATTAGAATATAAGACTTAGTGTTACACTATTCTTCATATTGTGTGTGCATATTTATATGCACACACACAAATGAAATCCTATCAATCGTATGAAAAAGAGGTATGAACATGAAATTTTTTGGTAAGTGGAAGAAAATATATTTTAAGATATATGTGAAATATTCTTCATAGTACGCAGAATGTACTTATTAAAAGCAAACATTTAAGGGGTTTTGTGTTCAAAAATTATAAAATAAAAAAAGGTGAGTAAAATTTTAAACCGGAGATTAAAATAAAAATCTTCCATTTTCGCGCGTTCTGTTAATTATTATGCTTAGTTACATAAAGTTAAAAAATGGGCTTTTTTGGGGAAAATTTTGGTCAAAAAAATTGACCGCTTA